AGATGCAGGGTAGCGGGCATTGGCAAGGTACCGACCCTTATCCCAGTCCCTTTGGTCCCACGGCATGGAACCCCAGGAATTTGTCGGAAACACAGACAGTGAAGCACACAGGCGGTAGGACTGTAGCACGTTACGTAGGCCGTGGTAGGCCTAGACCTCGTGGATACGAAGCCCAGGCTCGAAAAGCAAGGGGACCGACCCAGTAGCTGTGACGAGCATCTAGAGCGCCAGGCGCGGCGATAAGCGTTTGGATGAGAGTAATTGAGGAACGAGGATGCACACTGCAGATGAAGCCGTTGGCACTCTGTTTGGAATAGATATCTCATCAGTGTAACAAAAGCAACACAACGGACGACACGGCTGCAACAAGACTGAAAGAGCCCTGAGTTGAGAGCTACTTACTTCCCCATCTGCCGTCATCGTCGGCCTCAATTGTGTTTTCATGTGCCTCGGGTTGAAAAGACGAGACAGGCCAAGTTTATTAACCTACCTGATCGACGTCACATCTCTCGCGCTCCGGATGGTCCAGTTCAGTTCAACACAGTCACGGCCAGCCCCGCCCAATCCTATTGCCTCCACCGCCCGCTTTCGGAGCCTCGCGTTGAACGAACAAGAACCCTTTTTCTCGCTGTTGATTTAAGAGAGACGGGTCCGGCTTGGTCATTCCATTCCCCCAAAACCCAGCGCCTCTGCGGGTAAAAGTGGCCCATAATCAGTAAGCCAAAAACGGGAGAGACATGGAGGGGGGTGCGTTTCCACGAGCTTCTGCAGTGGTGTCTTTGTTATTTTGCTTCCAATTGATTGCCTATCGAATTGGAAATCGCAGAGCAAACTTTGATGGTGCACATGCATGCATGCGTGTGTGAGTTTGTACAAGTATTATATGTCGTCTGAAAAGTGAGGGATCGTACTTGTGCATAGGTAGGTATGCAGTGCATGTGTAAACAAACGATGGGCTGGTCAACGTTGTTGTTCGTTGCTGCTGTACATAATAAGCAAGCTTTGGTCCCTGTAACTATGTCTATGTATCTGTCTGAGCATGGATGAACAAACTTGACTATGCATTTCATACTCCGTACTGTGTGACAACAGCTTCTTTAACGATGGGACTCAACAAGGTAAGCTAGTAAGGTAAACAACCAAACTTACACACCTCCCCCCTGCCCATGGCCGCGGCCTGAATGTGGTGAGAGCGATGAGCTGGAGGCGAACTGACCAGCCGCTGGCTCCACCAAGGCATGATTCATTCATCAGCCGCCTTGCCTTGCCTCGCCTCGCCTCGCCGCTCTTTATAAAGCCTTGACCATATTCATTTTCCACCGCCAGTCTTTCTTTTGTTTTGATCGCTTCATCTTCTATCACTGTCGTTGTGTGAATGAATCTTTGATTTGGTTCTTGCTTTCCACGGATTTCTCGAAACGCCGTCACTGCATCCGATTCCTATAAAGACGTCCTTACTTGACTCAACTCCTTACCGCTCCCAACATAAACTCTCACCGACTGAAGAACCTGTTCAGTCCATCTCTCAAAAGCCTACCTTTTCTTCTACAAAAGAAACCAAAGAAACAACGCCATGCCTCCCAAGCGAATCCGTTGCACGGCTGCTTCGTGCCGTGAGCCCGCTCAACGGATCGTCGGCGACTGCACCTTTTGCCAAGGTCATTTCTGCGGCAAGCACCGCCTACTAGAAGACCACAAGTGTACAGGTCTCGAGGACGTAAGTCCGGCATCTCATACAAGCCCATGGTTACAGACCCGCTAACCCACATGCAGTGCAAGAAGCAGTCTCACGAGCGTAACGCTGCACAACTCGAGTCGGAACGAACCCAGGTTATCCGGGGTGTGTAAATCGACCAACGAGAGTCATCATCACCTTACATATCTATCATGGTTCGGACTGGAGACTGGCGTCACTCCTAGAGTCCGCAATGCGCATTCTGACGGCCACGACGTAATGAGATTGGATTCCGAGACAGCATCTGCATTAGATGCATAGCGCTATTCGCCGTTGTATATTTCTATTCGGATAGTTGAGGGTGCGTTGGCGTACAGGATATGATAAGGGACATTGTCCCCTCCTTTAGCGGGCTCTGAATTGATTCAATTTCTTCATCACAATCACAAAGCGAAATGTGTCCATTGAGATTTGGTAATCCCTGGAATTCGCCGATCAACCGACGGTTTCAGTCGACTGCTGCTCTAGAGGCGGTGACATTGCTTGACCACTTGACTCAGAATGGAGTGAAGATCCGTTGTCTTGGCTTGATTACGTGTTGTTCGAGCCTGGCCTCGAATGCGACTTTAGGGAACCACCAGGACCCTGTCTTGTTTTACCGGCTTATCTCCGATATCGTATCGGGCCCATAACTGATCTCGTGAGCATCTATCAAGACCGCGCATACGATAGTGCCATCTAGCTAGGTGGACCACAGAAGTGCGCCAGCAAGAGACCAATAACTTTTTCTTTGTAGAATAGGGTACCAATGGGTATTAATGCGTCTGAAGCGCAGTCTTTCCTGTCAGTTCTCAACGCCAACCTTCAAAGTCGCTCATACACGTGGTCAAATCGACTTCTGCCAGCGACTCTAGGCAACTCGATCCTGGGGATTATTATGGGGTGGTTGGTTCCGGGGGCGGGGCCGCTGATGGGGTTAATCGTCTGTCATGAGAACCTGGGAACCCATCATACACCACCCTCTTCTTTGATTACAGTGTTCTGTGTAACCTCCATTTTGACCATTGTATCGCTCTGAGCCTCCGATTCAATTTTTTCGGCTTTGAGCTGGCGTCCGGCAAACACCTTTGCTCGATCGGCAGCTTTGCATAGTCCTTCGAGGCCAAGATCACATTCACCGCACTTGCGACCGACAGGAAGACATACCGACTGTCCCAACCCCACCAGAAGATGATTGATCTCATGCCATCGATCTTGTGGGAGCCATGACTGAAGTGTTGTTCGTGTCTCCTCTGGGTTCTTCGTTTTGTGCCAACCCCAAAGGTTCGTGATACGATGTACGTGCACATCAACACCAATGCCCAGATGTTTACCCCATGCTACGGACATGCAGAGATAGGCCATCTTGGGTCCGACGCCCGGTAGCGATACGAGGCCCTCGATGGTGTTGGGGATGTCGCCATCCCATGTATCGCGGAGTATCTCAGCTGTTTGCTTGATATACCTGAACACCAGTCAGTCCAATCTCGATCAGTTCATACCGATCGGGTGACACAAACTTTGTCTTGTTGTTGTGAAAGCCGACCGCCCAGATGAACTCGTTCAGAAGCTTGGGGTCGATTGCCAGTATGTTATTTAGGTTTAGTCCCGGGGGCGCCCCAGGTTCAAACGGTGGCAGTTCAGTTTGCATCTTCTTCATAACCACGGCGTTCACCGTGTCCTTTGTCTGACTCGACAGCATGAGCGCCACCAATGTATGAAATCTCTGGTCTTTTGGTGATGCGTTTCGATCCGCTAGGCGTTCGCATCCCATGGTGTCAACAGCTGCACCGTAAGCTCGCCCACCTGGTGCCCGCATCTTCCTCACGGTATCATAAACAGCCTCCCAATCCGAGGGGGGTTCCATCTTCGTTTCGCCAGTTATTACATCGAAGGCTTTGCGAGCGGGCTTACGAACCCGCCGCGCTTTTGTTGGAGGTGATGGGATATCATCGAGGGCTTCGTCGACCACTTCAGGCTTTACAACTTGGGCGGATTTTGAAATTTCGGTCTTGGTCACTACGGCACGCCTTCGTTTGCGAGCAGGACCTGCACTGTCTTCGATATCGGCGACCATGGGTTTGGACTCTTCTGTTGAGGTAAAGGCGAATTTGGCTAGCGCAGACCTTGTCAATCGTCGCGGAGGTGACATAGGCTCAGCCTTATGATCGAATAGTTTCGAAGCATCTCTTGATATTCGTGATGAGCGCATTTTGTTTGTTTCGTCTGATTCGTTTGGTAATGTTAGATTGTTCTACTCCGTAAGTCGCGACTTATTATGGTCCCCTTTTCATAGATTGGCAAATGAAATCTAACGAATTGCAAAAAGTTGTCCCCACCTCCCTCCAGTGTTAGTGGAGATACCCCATATTCTGGATACTTACCTGCCTAGTCTGCTAGTCTAGGGCGATGCTTCTTCAAAACACGCCAGGGACGCAAATAATATCTGAAGGAAATATCTTTCCTTGCTTAGATCTTATGGAGGCTCATATGGTACTCGCAGCTCTGGGCCTCGGAAATATATTGTGCTATAGAACATATGGGAAATTTAAATTTCCAAAAGCAGATTCCTAGGTAGGTAGCTGCCAAATAACATGTAGGCATGATAGCTTGAAGCTTCGTGAGATGGATGTCTGGCCACTTTAGCAAGCCAATTATTGCGGCCATCAAGGTTCCAATTTGTGCGAGTACCTAGACCTCTGGGGTAATAAAGCTTTCGAATAAAACATGGTGCCAAAATCTGGTCTAAAGATCTACTGAAATCCCCTAAACTTACCTAAGTCTTTTCATCCGTTAGGATAAACGTCCTAAACTTTCTTGCCTCTTAAATATAGGTTACCTTCAATAGTATAATGCTTGAATATTCCTGTCTAGGTACCTAGATAACCTCACAAGTACGAGGCCCTGGCACACGCCTACAGGGCTTTGACTATAATTTATGAAAGTACTATGAAGGATTAAGGATAACTTCCTATGTTGTACCCCAACGCGGTATCAACTTAGCAGGTTTTTGACATTCGTTGTTGATTTTTGCCATGATGGAAGGTTGCAAGGCTCCTGACAGCCAGGCCATAAGAATTGTTCCTCCTACGTCGCGAATAGTAGTGGAGTGACAGGTACGCATAATACACAACACTGTATCAGTCGCACAGGGCATTTGTTCAAGGTATCTATCAAGGTCCTCAAAGTTGGCACTTAATAACAGCGGCTCCCGGTGCAGAGAGAAACAGTTTGCCATTTAACATAAAATTTTTGATATCATTCATCTATACTACATTTTGGGTCATTAAATCTTGGGCTCAAGCTTTTGCATATCGACGACGGCACGGATACAGTCACCCTGCTTCATCGTCTCGAAGGCGTTGTTGATCTCGCCGAGAGTCTTACGGTGGGTGATGAACTCGTCGACCTTGAGATCACCCTTCTTGTAGTCGGCGACAAGGTCGTTCAGCTGAGAGCGGCCCTTGACACCACCGAATGCACATCCTCGCCACACTCGGCCAGTAACAAGTTGGAATGCTATCGAAAGTCAGTATCTTGGAATTCCAATGCTATTAGGAGTCAACTTACGTCGAGTAGAGATTTCTTGACCAGCGGCAGCAACACCAATGACAATGCTCTCACCCCAACCCTTGTGACAAGCCTCGAGGGCAGCACGCATGACACCAACGTTGCCAGTGCAGTCGAAGGTGTAGTCACAACCACCATCAGTCATCTCAATGAGTTTGTCTTGGATGGATTGGTCACCGAGCTCGGTGGGGTTCACGAAGTGAGTAGCACCGAACTTGTCACCCCAAGCCTTCTTGGAGGGGTTGACATCAACAACAATGATCTTGCCCGCCTTACGGGCAGCGGCACCCTGGACGACTGAAAGACCGACACATCCGGCACCGAAGACGGCCACGTTGTCACCCTCCTGAACGTTGGCTGTAATGGTAGCAGCACCATAGCCAGTAGTGATACCGCAGCCAAGCAGACAGGTTCGGTCCATAGGAGCATCGTGCTCGATGGCGACTACGGAGATGTCGGCGACGACGGTGTACTGAGAGAAAGTGGAGGTGCCCATGAAGTGAAGCAGATCCTTGCCCTTGCACTTGAATCGAGAGGTACCATCGGGCATCAAACCCTTGCCCTGAGTGGCTCGGATCTTGCCGCAGAGGTTGGTCTTTCCGGACTTGCAGAACTTGCACTCCTTGCATTCGGGGGTGCTGTTTGAGAATAGGTTAGCTTTTGCGAGATTGATCAAGGTATGGAAAATGCATACTAAAGGGCAACAACGTGGTCACCAGGCTTGACGTTGGTGACGCCCTCACCAACGGACTCAACGATACCAGCACCCTCGTGTCCGAGGACAATGGGGAAAGCACCCTCAGGGTCCTTACCGGAGAGAGTGTAGGCATCTAAAATCAAGTTAACACACTAATATTGAGCTGATTTGCACGGCTCAAGAGCTACGAGAGCTCGATGACGTGAGTAGAGCATACCTGTGTGGCAAACACCAGTGTAGTAGACCTGGATACGGACCTCATTGGCCTTGGGAGGAGCAACCTCAATGTCCTCAATGGACAGAGGCTTACCGGCCTCCCAGGCGACGGCGGCCTTACAGGTGATGGTCTAGTGATAGCATCAGCAACGCGTCTTCATGATGTTTCTCGTCCAGGGCGGGGCACTGGGCATGATGAGGGGTAGTAAAGCTTGTGAAAGACACATACCTTGCCCACGGTAGACATATTTATGTGTTACGAGGATGAAATTGACTGTCGATGGAGAAGGAAAGAAGTGAATAACAAGACAGACAAACAATTTGAGGGGTAGATGAACCTTCAAGGGGAATCTGTTTATGTACGTAGAAACAGTAGGAAAACCGTCCGCACACTCAGATCCCGATCACCGAGCAACTCCGGTGCGGCAACAACGTACCCCGCAATTGGAGCTCCAATCCACATTCACTGAGATAGGAAAAGAATCGCGGCTTCGGGCATGAGATCAATGCTCATTGGGCGTATGACGCCCGATTTCACTCTCCTTACGTGAGAGCATTGTGCGGGGACATTGACAAAGCATGCCAAGGCACTGCGCCATTGGTGTGAAGTGCTGAGATGGCATTGCCAGAGATAGCCAGACTGCCCCTAAGCCGGAATACTCTTTCGGCAGATGAGACCGATCTGGCCGACGGTTAGGAAGAGAAGCCGCACCTGTGAGTCAGGACGAGAGCTCTTTGTGGCTTCACGGGGTCGGAAGACCTTCCGTTTGACGCCGTGCCCACTTGACGTGATCTTTGGCAAAAGGTTAAAGCGGTCTTGGTTCCGAACACTCGGGAAGATGAAGATAAGAAGAGATTACTACATTTCAGAATTTAGAAAGAAGCAATTCAGACCCTTCTAAAACTTCAATCAGACAAGTTGGCCCCACCTTCAGTGAAGCTCTCTCTTTACATTCCGCTTTTGTTATCGCTCATTACTCATTATATACCAAGAAAAACCACAGTTCGAAATGTGATCGAGTATCCGTATTTTGTCTTGATAAAATTTAGGCTTAATGATTTCCTCTTGATTTGCAAGAGCTCAAGTACTGCAGCCTTTGCGGGCACAGAATTCGACTTATGTGAAGTCTTACAAGTCATACAGACATGCGACAAAGGAGCAGGAAAGTCAACCTTCAGTGAAACAAACATGACTGACCTGCGTTCACATTTTGCTGGGATGATAACTATTGGCTTGGCTGAGTTATTAGAGAAAGCCCATCCGATGTCATGTGCAGGGGTCGCGTCGGATAAACAGCGGCTAGTGTTACCCAGCGCGATAGCTCCAAAAAATATCCCAAGCGCGTTCAGCTCAAGCAAACAGGAGCTTGCAACTCAACACCGCTTTAACAATTCATATCCATTTCATCACTAAATACGATCATCGCATGCGAAAACAGCGCAAGGCAACGTGAGGGAGCGAAGAGCCCAGCTTAATTCACGCGCCGATAAGGCCTAGTCAGATTCGAAGGCAGAGGAGTTCTGTTTAGCATAATGTCATCTCGCTTCATTGTTCCGGACTCTAGTCCTCCACCAAGCCCAGCGCCATCGACGCCAGACAAGAGCGGCCGCGGCACAGGGTTTTCGTTTCTTGCCGAAAACCCTTCAACGACTCCAGCTGGGCCACCTCCATCTTCAGCCGCTTCCTTTACACCCGCGGGTGCCCCGTCTGATTCATACATGGGAAGCTCTTTCATGCGTGGAATGACTGATACAAAGCCTCTGAGCTTTGGCGTGTCCAACAACTCATCCTCTGGAAGAAATCTTTTTGGTCGCACAGGTGCCCCAAGCAACCCGCTTGGTCGATCCATTAGAGGACGACAGCCTTCAGGATTGAGCCGCCAGTTCAGCGCGGCGGACGAGGAAGATGAGGATCTAGAGGAAGATCACGATGCCGAAGGAGAGGTTGAGCTCCCACCCCCACGAGGTAATCTTTTTCGCATGTCTACTGCTCCAGACGAACGCCTCGAGGATGACGAAGTGGACGCCGAGATCGAACGCTACATCGACCAAGACATGGCTGGTGAAGACGATGAGAGAGAAAGCTATGGGGAAGACGACCATGTTTTCGAGCGCGAAGAATCCGAAGAACCCGATATGTTCTTGAACATGAGACACGACGACCGACCCTATGGCCAGCCTATGATTGGCGATGAATCCGACCTGATGATGCTCAACACACCTGCCGCGACAAAACGAGTGCGCCAAGAAGCGGAAAGTATTTTCAGACAAACTTCAGCCCATCTTGGCATGTCGGGGCGCCATGAGGGTTTCCATTTTGCATCGATCGCCAAAAATCTTTACAGTCAGCACGAACACGCACAAATTATCGAACCCGCCGACATGATCCTCGAAACTGAAGAGCTTGTATGTAGGCTATACGAAGAGGGAGTTGGACCTGAGGATGACGTCGAGAAGATGGACAATTCTTTGTCTAACATTACATTCCGCCTGATTGAACTATGGAAGAAGACTATGAATGGACTGCCACAACCAGAAGGAGAAGATTTTGCAACCATTGGTCCTGGTCTCAACAGTGAACCATTTGAGAAGGCCGCCTATGTCGCACAGCTAATACTTAGAATGCACCACACTCGCTTCGGCACTAATACCGACGAGGAGAAGACACCACCGCTGCCCGAAATCCTGTTCGACTGGATGCATAACAATCATAACCTGTACCCTGATCAGGTGCGTGATGTCAGCCGTCACATGCCAAGCCCTGCATGCCATCCTCTATTCTGGCAGACTGTCCGATGCTCCTTGCTGCGAGGAGATGTTGGCAGCGCATCCCATCTACTGAAAGAAGCTGGTTGGCAGAATGTTCGCCGAGGACCTAGAAGTGACTATGCGTACACGGGCAAAGCTCTTGAGAATGTCAGGCGCTTTGCCGCTGCCACTAGTGAAGTCCTGGACCAGTGCCCAGGTACAAGATCAGAGTGGGACATCTGGAATAGCAACTGGACTCTTTTCCGAATTCAGGCTCGCGGGTCTCTGAATCGGATGACCCTGTTCGCCGAAGGAAGGGAACAGGATATCCAGGATTTGATGGACGACGAGTTTGACCTCCAACAACAATCACTATCCACAATGGCTCGGAAGGCCTCAAGCCAAATACCATGGGATATCTACGAGCACTTACAAACCGTGTATGGTATCGCTCTTGGTAACCATGAGGCCATCCTGGAAGTCGCCCAGGACTGGTGTGAAGCAACGATAGGCCTTTTTGGGTGGTGGGATGATGGGAATCAACGTCATAAGGCCCTGAGACTTTCGCAATCGCAGTTACTGCGGGGATCATCTCGCTTCGCTGGCTCCGAAGACTACTTCGATCGACTGACAACTGCTTTTCACATGGTTGTGCAGTCAGATCTTAACCCTAATGTTTTAAACCCCGTCGAAGTTGCCGTAGCCTCCGCTTTTGAAGGAAACGTTAACGCCGTGCTGGGATTCCTGAGGATATGGTCATTGCCACTGGCATGTACTGTGGCAGAAGTCGCATCTCTAGGCGAATGGCTCCCCGCTCCTACCGGACCCAGCCTGTTTCCTACTGATAGTCTCGATATGGACGATCTTGCGCTACTAGGCGTGACTCAACCAGGACCTGACGAACTGGATGGGATCAAAGACACAACTCTTGTCCTGTACGCTAGGGAGCTGGCAGGTATAGAGCAACTGTCACCAGAGCGTGATGGGTGGGAAATGGCCATACAGGTGTTGGGCCGAATGGATTCGCCCGAGAGATCAGAGGAGACAGTGGGCGAACTCCTTCGAGATCTCCTTGCTACGTTGAATGAGAACTCAGGACGGACCGTGGACAAAATTTGGACAATACTGAATGACCTCGGCATGATTAACTACGCCGAGGAAACAGCAGAGGTTAGTAAATTTGAGTACAATGCTGAACTAAACTGACCCGAAACAGACGTTCGCAGAGATCCTTTCCAAGGAGTCTCATCGCTATGGCGAAGCCCTCTGGTACTATGCACTTTCCCATCGCCCAGACAAGGTCCGGGAGGTGCTGAATCTACTAATGTCCTACTCGCTTGTCCAGTCCACAGTCTACCCCTCAGAGAAGGATTTAGACCAGGATCTGAAGGATCTATTACGAAAGCGAACCGAGACCCTTGAGAAACGGGCCAAGCAGGATCTTGAAGCTGCTCAGCTGCTTGGCCGAATGCTTAGCGGTTACGCTACACTACGCAAGTTTTACGAGATTCGCGATGCTGAGGACTTGGAGAATATATCGCCTACAAAGGCCTTCAAATTGAAAAAGCAAGCGGCATCTGCATTGGTTGCTGTTATTTCCAGTTCCGACGACAACATACGTGGTGGACTTTACGACGAAACGCGGGATGCAGTGGTTAGCGAGGACTTCCTCCTGGTCCTGCTGGGAGAGGCTACTGTCTTTATTAATCAATCCCCAGCCATCGTCACACTTCCTCAGATCGATGTTCTCCTCAAAGCCATCGAGGATTTACAGACAGTCGGCGATCGAGTCTATTCGGCGTGCGACGACTTCTTCAATCTTGTATTGGCATCTGCCCAGGGACTGAAGGGCTCTACACCACAAGATCTAATGGCCAAATCAACAGCCTCTCTAGGAGGAAGCTTCATGATGACCGGAAGCTCCGTGTTGGTGAATCATCTGCACAAGTCGATCTCGGCGGGAACAAAGGTTGATAGAGGATGGGACTGGAGGAAGGGATGGCTTGCAACAAGCAAGGGTGTGGACGTTCTTCGAAAACTTCGATTGGGATTGGCAAAGGACCTGGCGACACTGTGGCTAGAAGACGCAGATGGTGTCGTCGCCTACTAGAAGGCATGTATTTGAACAAGAATGACTTTTTGATGTTTTGATATGTGAGTCCGGACTGGCGAATGGAAGGCACCTTTGGTAATACAAGACATGAGCGAAATGTAATATATGCCCCTATGTTCTCAGAATAGGAATTATATCCAAATAATGATTTATAACCCCTACTTTTTGAACACATAGTTACCCGTTCTATTCCGAGGTTACCTATACATATACCTATGGACAGGACCCATCTCCGCCGGTGTTCGGATGGCGGAGGCCCCCACATCCCCGGATATCAGTCGTTAACGCCAATCGGCTCCTGTCAATTTACAATTGACCAAAAAATTCCGCCCCGACCTCGCCCCCACCACAAATTTAGGGAATAACATCTGTAACAAGAGGATCAAAAGAGTCATCGTTCATTGTTGCCGTGTATAGCCCAGCATGGTTTCAATGGAGGTCGCCAGCCGCTCAGGCGGTGCCATGACGGTAAGCTACATCATCTCATATTAAATGGGAACCTTTCCGCAGCAAAACACAGATACACAAGCTAACCCTTACACGCGGTAATAGCAACTCTTGCGACGTTCCGGTCCTAATGCCATTCGATCAACCACCGTTCTATCTAATAACACAAGGAGAAACTTCTCAAGCGCGAAGCCTCTCCCTCCTACCTACGAAAAGCTATACACCAAGTACACCGATGTCCGTCGAGTTCTCGGCAAGCAGCGTCTGACCCTCGCCGAGAAGATCCTCTACAGCCATCTCGACGACCCCGAGGACTCCTTGCTGAACAACACCGACAATGGACGAAACATTCGCGGCAAGGCCAATTTGCGCCTCAATCCCGATCGTGTCAACATGCAGGATGCTTCTGCTCAGATGGCTATTCTTCAGTTCATGTCCTGCAACCTCGCCAAGCCTGCAATCCCTGCAAGCATTCATTGTGACCACTTGATTGTCGGCTCCAAGGGTGCTGAAGATGACTTGTCTGCTGGTATCCAGACTAACAAGGAGGTTTTTGACTTCCTTGAGTCTGCGGCGCGCAAGTATGGAATGGACTTTTGGCCTCCTGGTGCTGGGATTATCCACCAGACAGTTCTTGAAAACTATGCTCTTCCTGGATTGATGATGCTTGGTACCGACTCCCACAGCCCCAATGCTGGTGGTCTTTCTACAATTACCATTGGCGTTGGTGGTGCAGATGCTGTTGAGGCTCTTGTCGGTGCTCCGTGGGAACTTAAGGCCCCCAAGATTTTGGGCGTGCAACTTGTCGGCAAGCTGAGCAACTGGGCTTCTCCCAAGGACGTCATCCTCCGGCTTGCTGGCCACCTCACAGTCCGTGGTGGCACTGGTTCCATCATTGAGTATTTCGGTGAAGGTGTCGAAAGCCTAAGCGCCACCGGAATGGCTACTATCTGCAACATGGGGTAAGTTTGTCTTATAAATCAAGGGATCTGGAAAATACTGACTTCATCTAGCGCCGAAGTCGGTGCTACAACATCGATATTTCCTTACACCAAGGCTTCAGCTAGATATCTTGACTCGACCCGGCGATCTCAGGCGAACAAGAACATTGAAGCCCTGGAGGCCTTCGCCAGCAACAGCTCCGACCCTGATGCTCGATGGCAATTCAAGGCCGACGAAGGCGCTGAATATGACGAACTCATCACCATCGATCTTTCGACTCTCGAACCTCACATCAATGGCCCTTTTACACCAGATCTGGCCACACCGCTCTCCAAGTTCAAGGAAGTTGTGAAGGAACAGGACTGGCCCCAGGTTCTTTCTGCAGGTCTCATTGGTAGCTGCACCAACAGCTCCTACGAGGATATGACCCGAGTCGAGAGTTTGCTTAAGGATGCCAAGAAGGCTGGGCTGAAGCCTGCTGCCGACTTCTACATCACTCCCGGGAGTGAACAGATCCGCGCTACGCTTGAGCGCGATGGTACCCTCGAGACATTCCAGGAGGCCGGCGGAATTGTTCTCTCAAATGCCTGTGGTCCCTGTATTGGTCAGTGGAAGCGACAAGATGGCGTCGAGAAGGGCACAAGCAATGCTATCCTGACCTCGTATAACCGAAACTTCCGTGGCCGAAATGATGGCAATCCTGATACCATGAACTTTCTGGCCTCTCCCGAGATCGTCACCGCCATGGCCTTTGCCGGATCCACTACCTTCAACCCTGTGACCGATAGCATCAAGACACCAGATGGCAAGGACTTCATGTTCTCTCCTCCTCATGGTCTCGAGGGTCCCCAGACCCCTTTCGAGTCTGGCAACGCCGAGCTTGGTGTATTATCCCAGGCCCCGGACCCTAACACCAAGATCGCCATCTCTCCCACTTCCGAGCGTTTGGCCTTCCTTGAACCCTTTGCTCCTTTCCCCTCGTCTGATCTCTCAGGCCTTCGCGTTCTTGTCAAGGTCACAGGCAAATGTACCACCGATACCATCTCCGCAGCCGGCCCCTGGCTCAAGTACAAGGGCCATCTTCCCAACATCAGCACCAACACCCTCAACACTGCCATCAACAAGGAGACCGGTGAGGTCAACGCTGCTTACGACCTCGACGGCTCCAAGCACACTATTCCTGAGCTTGGCCAACTCTGGAAGGAGCGTGGTCAAGAGTGGCTTGTCGTTGCTGAGCACAACTATGGCGAGGGCTCAGCTCGTGAGCACGCTGCCCTGCAGCCTCGCTACCTTGGTGCCCGTGTTGTTCTGACAAAATCGTTTGCCCGTATTCACGAGACCAACCTCAAGAAGCAGGGTGTTGTACCTCTGACTTTTGAGAACGAGGCTGACTATGATAAGATCGCTGCTGGCGACGAGGTTGCAACTGTCGGTCTGTATGAGATGCTGCAGAATGGTGGCAAGGGCGATGTTCAACTTCGTGTCACAAAGGCCTCTGGTGAGGAGATCCTCATTCCCACTAAACACGCTGTTACCAAGGACCAGGCTGGTTTCATTCTTGCTGGCAGTGCTCTCAACCTGCTGTCTAAGGGCATATAAAATGAGCCGCTCTCTTTTTGAGCATTAGTAGATATAGCTTTCGGGCCACAGGATGACTTCCTCTCACGATGCCTAAAAATGCCGAGTTATGTGTTGGACTGGGGAAAAAGGGCGTTTTTGGTTGGGTGAAAATGCCGAGTGATAGATTGTTTATACCAGCAATACCAATTGTTTTTGTTCTCTAGCCACTCCCATGATTTACAAAAGAACCACGTGCATATATGCGTCTATTATTTCTTCAATTGGTAAGATACCTGTATTGCTTCTTAGAGAAGTGGAAACTTCCTAACTCTGTAACTCCGAATTCGAACTCCTGAACTCCTGTGGCATATTTACATTTAGATTGTTGGAATCCTTTGCCCCTCGTTGACAAGAACGAAGATGGCCGTTTGCCCAAGATGCGCCTAGTCAAAACTCATCAAGACAGCCTCCTTGACTCCTTTGCAATGCACCGTCATCATATATCGTGTGAATTCATCAAGCGTTCAAGCTCTGAAAGTAACTCTCTGTCTCTTTCGTCTTGTTGTTGACATGTCGCTGGCGTGCAGTCGTCTTATCCTCGCATTCCCTGAACCAAGCGCAGGCTTTCAACCAAGCCGGGTTATTCCGCACATATTCAGGCAGTTCCTCCTCGGGTAGGTCACCAAAGTCAAGAATACGCTTGACCCCCCCCGGCTCTGGTGGTATGTAGGGGGGAGTAGTCCCGTCTTGCTGAGCTTGTTTGATTTTCTCTTGCTTCTTCACCTCTAGAGCCTGTAACCAGCGTTGCCTCTCCACAACCTTGCCAAACCACTCTTTGCGTTTGGGACGCCGTCTGATTTCGTCGCACTTCTTTCTATACCAGGCACGGGATCTCTTATGTATGTGATGGATTGCTGGATTCACCGGAAGATAGAGTGGCTTTTGGTCGCCGTAAACTGGGCGGTACTTGACAATACGCGAAGATACAGTAACATGCGGAGGTGGTCGCAAACTTGACTGTCGATAAATGAGTGAGTCGAATGCCTCAGAATCGAACTCGACTAAAAGCCTCTTTTTGCGAGCTTCTGCTTTGGCACGGGAGGAGAGCGGCACGGGTTTGGCCGGCTTTACTTCCTCATCAACGTCACTAACATCGGCCATATTCACCTCATCATCGATTTCGGCGCTGACTTCAGGCAGGGTACCTTGAAGATGCTGTTTCCTGACTGGGGGCCCTTGACTTGTCAGGGGAGCCGAGCGCTTAGTGGGAGTTGATAAGAGCTTCGCCTTCGAACTCATTCGTGTTTCTGGATAATGATGCTCCGATTTTTTCTGTGTATTGTCCTTCTTTGGCTTGGATGTCCGAGGAGAAGACCTAAATTTGAGACCGTCTTCAGAGGTAAACTGAATATGATTCACAGGAGAGGTGGAAGAAATGCGCGACTGAGAGTCACGGCCTAGGTAAGGCTCGATCTTCTTAAACCCTCCATTTGAAGGAGACCCCTCAGAAGCCGCTTGCGCCGTCCCAGCCAAGTGTTGGCTGTCAGTTGTATCAACGGATTGCCCATTTCTAGGCGCATCCATCTCGAGATTCTCTGTGGGATGCGTTGCCGACCCAGTATTTGAGCAAGAACTCGGTTTTTTGGTGGCAAAATCGAGACCAAGCGGCTGGTTTATCACCCCCTCTGTCCCCGCTTGCAAATCCATTTCCAATGGCGTCCTCATGTTCGACACAGCATGTGAATTTACCTGGTTAGTAGAAGAGCTCTTATCATCTTTCGCTACATCTTGGGCTGCCTTAATCTGCGCGGAGCCGGGTGTTGATCCAACGTGGCTGGTTCTGTTCCTCTCCGGCCGGGGAAGAAGGTTTCTGTCATTTGTATCAATGGATTTGTCTTGCACCAAGGACGAAGGAGGGGCCTCTCGCTCATTTGCTTTCGGAGACTGTGTCACAGGAGCGATGGTATCCGGACCCGACGCATCTTGAGATGGTGGATCATGCCTAGAAAAGTGCCGTGAAGGTGTAAACACAAATTTGCCTCGACCTCTTTTAGCAACAAAATTCCTGTTAGAGGGTCGGAAGCCCTTGGCCATATTCGTATCAGAGGAATCTCTGCTGGCGGCAGTTGGCTCTAATGATGAGTGTTCATCACAGTAATGTCTGGAACTAAGCAAAATGATCTTATCACAAGCGAGAACGGCACAAGTGCCGCCGACATGTGTCGAGGCAGTCATTCAGAGTCTCGTTGATGGGGCCAAAACGCAGAACTGATCCACCACACACAGGCTTTTACGACTGGATTGAGTCATGAGGCGCGTAGATGAAGGAATACCTAGAAATCATGTTAGCAATGTGCATTTAAAGCAGTAACGCAATGCTGAGCAAGTATTAGAGACGAAGTCGAATCAGATCTTTTCAGTTTTGAATGGCCGTCAAGCTAGGCACCTCATCGGTTGGCACATAATCTCTTCTGACAGGTGTGTTGATTCAATGTATCTGCTGTTTGTCGCGGCCTTTGGTCAAGATCCGTGGCGCAGACGAGGAAGAAGACTCCATTGTGCGACAATGAAACTCCATGGTAATCGGCCCCAGCGCTCTACAAACAAGCTTATAATGTAGGAGAGCGGTTACAGCTGGGGTGCGGTATGGAATGACAGTGTTGATTCAGACAACAATGTCATCGATAGAGTCAGAAGAAGAGAAGATGGCGCAACCAGAAGGGTTCCGTTCAGTCAGACCTTTTACCATAGGCATCATTTAACGAGCATAAAGTAAGACAAGGAAACGAAATCAAAATATCTTACCGAGGTCTGAGACCACCCAGAGAAGAGTTCTGCTTCCCTATCCGTGCCTTGTGATTGTTGTGCTAATCGAAAATACTGCGCAGTCGATAATTTGAATTATGTAGGCGGAGGCGAAAGGACAGTGTTATCCTGTAGTAGGTAGAAAGAAGCAAAGGGAGCTAGGTCGCGTCCGAGACAGTTCCCCACGGCTGCTGCCCTGTGTTGAAACAGTAGGAGTGACTATGTGCGTTCTGAGCTTAGGTATGTATGTATGTATGTATGGGTTGACGAGCCAGCCGACATCGGGTAAAGGATAGAGAATAATATCTAGGATCAGGATCAGGGAAAGAATGAAAGAGATCTCCAGCCGCCAGAGGCAGAGAGGCGTATGACTGTGGTCGTTGGTTTCGCGCCTCTCATTGCGGGCTGGTCCTGTTGCTACTGGCTCGCTATTGGCTCAAACATTGGTGATGATGATGAAGGATGGGGTGCAGAGGCGCCGGGAAGACGGTGAGTTGCTCCGAGCTGGAAAACTAATTCTTCCGCCCCGGCTGCCATGCCTACCAGTGGAGCCCCACAAGTCAACTTACACCCATGAGCGCGTCCAAAGGGAAATTCTGGCCTGCCTGTTGACTCAAGCAAAACGTAGGCGATTAGTAAATTGACTTATGCTTGTGTTAATGGAAGCCTTTTTCGAGACTAGGTTTTATCCAAGGCTACTGCTACTCTGCAGTTGGTGAGTACAAACGCACTATAAAAATAAAGTATAAAGTATAAACCAAATGCACCTTTCACATTCTTTATGATGCAAATAAGACGCCTCAAAATTCATTGATCCAGGTACTCAAGTACCGTGCTGATTTGTCTCATTGGAGTCCCTTCAGATATCTGGATAAAACCACCCACTTTCGGTCCAGATACGGATGAATCTTTCGGCACAAATATGTACCTGATCTGTATTCATATCTAAGTCTTTTCAAGTCCGATCACTGGGGCTAATTCCCCCTACAGTTCAGCTAGTGGCGATACAATCAAACCTACCTCGATATTAGATTCCACGAATTTATATATACACATCATGACCTATGCAAAGCCCAAACTTTAGTGTGTTGCTGGTGCTCCGTATGTTCTGGGCTCTTACATGGTCAGTTGGATTAGGTAACCCTGACACCCCTCCATCCCCTGTTAAATTTATCAGGCACTAGCGCGGGGGTCTTGAGCTCCCTGACGTACAGCGCCAATAACCACGTTGCGACTCTGGAACCAAATATATCATTCGTCTACAAACAGCAATATTTTCGACCTGTACATATGTCGATTCTCCTCAAGTAGGGTGTTGAAAGCTCAAGTCCCAATAAAATTTCTAGGCTTTGCGACACTGGAATGAATTTTCTCAAATCTGCCGTGGCCTCGGCCATTGCACAAGGCCCTCCCTTTCCATATAACTTTGGCGACAAGGTTGATATCGATGAGTCTATCTGGACACTGTACAATGGTACCAAGAGGGTGAGCTCAACGTCGCAGAGCGCACAACGTGGACCTGCTGACAATCTCTGAATAGGAAGATGGTTCAAACTGCAGCATCTTTTCCTTCGATATCACCACCAACCGATCTCAACTCCCCCTAGCCAAGAATGCCCTAAAGAAGCTCCGAACACTACGGCACCCAGGCGTGATCAAACTTCTAGATGCGGTCGAGGTATAGCAAGACTTTCGGTTGGTTTAAGGGCATTCCGCTTATAACATCTGGCAGACGGAGACGTATATCTACATTGCGACCGAACGAGTAGTACCCTTACGATGGCACGTTCGAAGAAAGAGTCTCAGCCCTGAGACGATAAAATGGGGCTTGCATAGCGTTGCGGTACGACTTGTTATGCTATTATTTTGATCGATATTAATAACGTCACAGCGCACTATAAAATTCATCAATGAAGACGCTTCCTCGATCCACGGCAGCATCAAAGTTGGATCGATATATACTTCAGAGAGTGGCGAGTGGAAGCTCGGTGGCTTTGATGTTCTCAGCAGCCTCAAGGACGATGAGTCAATAATATATGCAAGACGTCCCCAGATAGGTGCCCGCGTACTCAGGCTAACATATTAATAGACATACGGTAGCTTGGTACCTGATGCGGGTCGATATTCTCCTCCAGAGTTGGCACGAGGCGGATGGGATGTTATCAAGAAGAACCCCCACACAGCAGTAGACGCATTCAATCTTGGAACATTGATCTTTGAAGTTTTCAACGGCGATTACAATGGAGCTGATCAGGCTGGCCAAACGAAGAGCATCCCCCCTTCAATGCAGTCCAGTTATAAGCGTCTGTGTAACGCAAACCCAAAGGCTCGGATCAGTGTGGGAGCTTTCCTTGATCAAGGCAACCGAAATGGCTCTTTCTTTGACAGTTCTCTCATCAAGCTGACTGAGGGTATCGATAACCTGGACATTAAGACGGCAGATGAACGAGAAGAGTTCCTTAGGTACATCTTCAACTCCTTCCATACCTCGAAATTGCTAATAACTTGAACAGTGGACTGGACGAACTAAGCGATGACTTCCCAGAAGAGTTCTTCAAGCTAAAGGTTATGCCGGAGCTGATGAAGTCTGCTGAATTCGGTGGCGGTGGCCCTAGGGCTGTATCCGTAGTTCTCAAAATCGCATCTAAACTTCCCAAGGACGACTTCGACTCAAAGATTACACCGTTCATTATTCGCCTGTTTGGAAATCCCGATCGAGCTATTCGAGTGTGCTTATTGGATAGCCTTCCTTTGATGATTGATCAGCTATCACAGAAGATCGTCAACGACAAGATCTTTCCACAATTGGTACAGTCTCTGTTGCTCTACTTCAATGCAAGGCTAACACATCCAGATCACTGGCTTCACTGACGTAACACCGGTGGTACGAGAACAAACATTAAAGTCTGTTTTGGTCATCATCACTAAGCTCTCGGACCGCACAATCAATGGTGACCTCCTCAAGCAACTTGCAAGAACCGCAAATGACGAACAACCGGGCATTCGAACAAATACAACTATCTGCTTGGGAAAGATTGCAAAGCACTTGGGTACTTCGTCCCGCTCAAAGGTCCTTATTGCAGCCTTCACTAGATCACTCAGAGATCCATTTGTACATGCTCGAAATGCTTCCTTAATGGCCTTGGGTGCCACTGCGGAGTACTTCACTGATGAGGATAGCGCATGTAGGATCTTGCCCGTTATCTCTCCTGCCTTGATTGATAAGGAGAAGATTGTTCGCGACTCTGCTACCCGTACTATGGATATATATCTCCAAAGGATCAAGAAGGCAGCTGCTGCCATGCCTGAAAGCGTTTTGCCTCCTCCTCAGACTAATGATGGCTCAGCTCCACGGATGAGCACCCCACAGCCAAACGAAAACACCCCCGGTGGCTGGGCAGGCTGGGCAATCTCTTCCTTCACAAACAAAATATCTGCGGCTGCAGGCGAAATCAACGCAGAGTCAGACTCCCGTGCTGCTTCCCCTGGTCCGGCGCCCTCACCTAACTCCGAGCCCAAGAAGCCGGCAACGAGCACCGCCTCGTCACTTCATCGCCAAGCAGTCAAATCTCCCCCAGCAACACTCTCGCGAAACTCTTCACATACCGCGAGTGTAGTGGCCGACTCATTCTTACCTGCCGACGATGGTGACGATGCTGGAGACTCATGGGGAGATATGAACGATGACTTCGACAGTTTCGACTCTCCCGGCCAATCCTCCAAACACCCTGCAACAACGACTGCATCTGCTGCCACTTTTGATGATGGCGAGCCTGATTTTGCTGGATGGTTGGCTGCGCAATCACAGAGAAAGCCCGCCAAGGCCTTGCCAAAGGGTTTATCAAAATCAGGTGCAGCTAAGAAGCCTGCGGCTAAATCGGCTGCGAAACCAATTGCTGCGAAAAAGATTGATATGAAGCCGAAGGAGACAGAGGACGATGATGGTTGGGGCGATGGCTGGTAATAATAGACTCAAGAGTCAGAGAGGTTTGAGGAGTTGGCACCTTTCATGAAATATCACTTTGCCATAACCGCTGCCCTTAGTTAGGGAGCATCAGGATACCATTCTCGAGCATATATGGGTATGTCGATTGTTGATTGAAGCATTCATAATATTTTATTTTGACACAAATAGACACTGCCATCTGGTAACACCCACGACACTAGCTATAAGTGCTTTAAGATAGGAAAATATTTTCAATCCCTAGGTATTCATGCTGAAGGTCAATCAACATCCTACTCCGTAGCTCCAGACCGATTGCTCACCGAGGTGAGCATTGCGCCCCACTAAAATCGCTCACCTTGATTTTTATTTTTCCCCACCAGAGCCAACAGTGTTCAACTCTCTCGCTCCAACCTTCTTCCTGCGCAACCACCAGATTCCATCTCAACGTCCCTCAGAATGGCTCAAGGCACAGTCAAAAAGCTCGGACGAGCAACTCCGGCCAAGATTACACACTCAAAGCGACAAGCATCGAAAGTGCATAAACCCAAGAAGTCAAAAGCGAATGTCGACAAGGTGCACAAGAAATTCACAAGCGGCATGACGGCGCGCACTGAAGCGCTGCTCGGTGAGCGTGCAGGACATCTGGAATTGCTTGGACAAGGAAAGAAGAAGACGGACAAAAAGACGACTCAAAAGGGCGGCTCGAAGAAATTTGGTTAAGGATTATGTGATGATACCGAAGGCGAACGATGATCGAACTTTTTTTATGTCTAAACGAGTGACTGGGCCTCCCTCACAACTGCGCACCAACGACGGCCTCCACAGACAGGCACGACTAAATACGCGAGTTATCTCACTTAATGGACTTTACGATGGGATACCTCCCAAGGATTTCCGAGCATCTTGTAATTCGGAATCCTGAAGTTCCTACCGACCCAACGGCTTTTTGTTTTTGGAGGGCTCAATCACGGAACCAGTCACCGTCACTTCTTTGCTGCTGCTACAAGGGCATGCCTAGGGGAAAGGACATATACTAAAGTCATCCTCTACCTTTCCACGAAGAGTGGTCGAGTGGTATCTACCTATAAACCTATGAACCTCAAAACCGCTCCTAAAATCCTTCCTCCCTCGGCCACTCTTCGTTTTTCGTCGCGAGTTCGAATCCTGCAGCCTTTCTCTATTTTTGCTATAGACTAAAGCCAAGAGCAAACTTATTCACCACTACACCCATTCTTAAGGCTTCTGATCTCCATAAACCTATAGCAAACTGTTTGTTTGCAAACGTGGCACTAGATACGCCATCTGTCCTTCTCATGTCGAGAGGCATATTATGTCCCAAGCAGTTACTTGCCAACATACGCCTTGTCCCTAGTTAATAAGTTAGCGATATAATCAATCATGACCAGCTGCATCAACTTACATATTGCAAATCTCAACCAATATGCCATTTTCCACGGCAAAGAGGTGTCAGTTTAGCGAAGCAGACTTACTGAATGTCCTCATCCAAGGCATTGTTCTTGCCATTGTCAACTTGATGATGATATGTAGCTGCAATTTGGCAACAGTGCTTGTGCACTGTTCTCGATAACAGTCTTGAAAATGTCAGACTCGAGAAAGGCGCTGATGACTGCTTGTTCGAATCGTCCCACCTCATTCTGGATAGAGCCCTGACCAGAGTCCTTAATCTCGCTCTTCAACTGAAATATGTTGCTTGAGATTTCATTGAGGCGCTCCTCCATAACACCCATCTTCTGATCCAACTTCGCTGAGTTTTCAACGAGGATTTCAAGAAGGGAATTCGCGTCTCCATAGGCATGATCGACATTTTTCAGGATCGGAACCAGATTATTGGCACGTTCTGTCTGTAGTTTCGCCTCAAGCGCCATGCTGCATTTGATCTCATTGGCCATGATTGTGAGTTTCACGAGATCATTGGCAGCAGACTCGGAGTTGAGCAGAATCCTGCGAAACTCTTGCGCAAATGCCTCTACAGTTTCCACATTGGGGCCAGCCGGGAAGACAGGACCTGGTATATCAAAGCGGATGTTCCCAAGCTCAACGGAGGATCTTTGAAGAGATCTCAGACAGAGCCGTCAGACTCGACGTCAATCGTGGCAGCCATCGTGAACCGCGTGCGTAGATATCCTAACTGGCCGGCGATTGTCAGTCAAGATGATCAAGAAGTAGCACGCGGCTCTTGCTTACCTTTGCGAGAATACCACGGTCAAAGCCGTAGAGTATGAGTTGTCAAGGCTACAGGCTAGGGGAGGAAAGAATATTCAGGAAGTTGATCCTAAATGACAAAAAGACTTAGGTAACTTAGGATAACTTTAGGGTAACTTTGCTAAACTTGGGATATCTTTTGCTAAGTTTATTTTTGATACCCTATATCCAGGTATGAGTTTTCTTGCCCCCCAAGAGGATGAAGTTACCATGCATGTAGTGTTGCGTTGGTGAAGAGTTCAGGTTGGAGTGGAGGTGCGGGGTGTGGTGGATAGATATAAACAATCACACTGGTACTCCTGCTGGCTTAGGGGCATACCATCATGAACTCGAATTTTTAATAGCAAATGCATACGAAATAAGGAGTCTCGAAAAAATTGCACTCAAGGCTACAGGTGTTCCCCATTAGACCCACTTGACCGCCGCTGACTTTCTTCTGTTTCTCCTTCGGCTTCCTTCGAAGTACTCAGATGCCCACCGTTGTAGCTCTTTTGTAATCCGTAATATGCCCTGCATTTCGGCTTGTCTCTCCAGCCATAGAAACTTGTCTTGGTTCGGGCATGACCACATTCGCAACAAACATGTCGATTGCCTTGGGCTACCCATTGTGCATGGACAGACTTATCACCATATACTATTTCTGCTGGTGGACTTCTGTTTATATTGGAAGCAAGACAGGCATCTCCGGTTAGTAGCTCGTCCATGTATAAGATTTGTGTAGATGCGGTCTGTGATAAGGTTGTAGGAGGTTAAAAGAGGCTTGTGTTCTTCAACCCATGCAGCATCAGCGTCATTTGTTGGGCGTGCGTTCTTGGTGCATCTTGCGCATTTGGAAGCGTCCAGCCAGCCAGCCCAGCCTAGGGAGATGGCTTTCGTCTGGTCGTAGTTCACGACAAGTCCCATAGACGTCATGACTTCCTTGATATAACCATTCCTGATGTTTTGCAAAAGGGTTTCCACTGTGCGGGTTGGGGTCTTCCTCTCCATACTTGATCCTGTGCTTGTAACATGCGACACATCGTGACTCGGGCCTGAAACCCCTGAAGGCATTGCGGCCGGGCCGGCGTGGTTCTTCGCAAAGAGGGTTTTGATAAACATCTGGATGACCTATGTCGACCCAGAATAGTTGATGATCAATCAGACTAACGAATTCTCCAGGTTGCTTTTCGTATCCGTGTGCATTCCGCCAATTCGTAAACTTAGGGCCTCTATCCTAAATCATAAAAAGACTTGGGTAAATTTAGGTAAACTTAGGTAAGAGTTTAGACTATTTGGTTATTTCTGAAACCTAAACTTAGGGTCTTGACATTTTCTTGCTCCCTGCTAACCATACTCCCAAAAGCAGCGTACAACCCATGCTGTTGTCACACAAACACGACCCCCTCGATGACTCTCCTTGAACCTGCGGAGCCATATATCTTATATGCCATGCATATCACAATGATTTGTCTTCCTTGACGACTGCGGGATCACCAGTCCGAATGGCACAGTCAACTTATGGCGATTTATCCATTCCAAAAAACCAGCCTCGGTTGATCAAACCCCTATACCCACGCACGACCTTTCTTGATACCTAGACCTCAACAGTTGTTGATGTCGAACACCTTTCCCTCTGCCGCGTGAGTCAAGATAGAAGTCACCACCCTGAAATCTCTGGCGACATCCACCATCCAGTTGGACACGGCCATTCGCACAGCCTTCTCTCCCTTCCAGCTTGTGCCACTCACATACATCTGCCGGGTCTCATTGATCTTCTGAACTAGCTCATCATTCAAAGTAGAATTCTTAGCGCGGAAAAGCACAATCATGAAGATCTCATTCAAGTTAGCACCGTCATCGGGGAGTAGCTCGTAGTACTCCGAGTCCCTCAAGAACGCAGCGACTCGGCGGGATAAAGCAGTCATGTTGGCCAGCAAATTTGCCATACCTGGTCGACCTTCACTGAGGAGAACAGCGTATGCGGGAAGGGCACGGAACCGCCGTGAGTTCTCCAGGCCAATATTCAGAGGCGAGGGAATGGTGGACGCCCCTCCCGTGGAGAGGTATGCTGCATTGGGGTTGGTGAAGACGGATTGAAGGATAGCAGGTGATCGCGTGAGGAACATGCCGCAGTCATAGGGCTGATCAAGTTAGCGATTCAAGTTAACACCAGGCACAGTCAAGCCGGAATGGCATGGAATACTCACGACATTGAGAAGCTTGTGTCCGTCAACGGTGATACTGTCCGCTAACTCGATGCCGTCAACACGATCGCGAAGAATTTTGTAGTCGTCCTCTTCGGGAAGAGCACGAGCAAAGATACCAAAGGCTGGTATGTTAGGATGAACTGTATCCTGCAAAAGGGTTGGATCTTACCTCCATCGACATGAATCCAAGCTCCATACTTGTCCGCCAACTCCCTTACTTTACGCATCTCTTCAACCCCCGTTAAAGCATATCGCCCGGTGTTGACCTCTCCAGCGCTTAATACAATAACACTTGCTGTATCTTTCTTCTGAAGTGCTGTTTCCAAAGCCTCAAGGTCCAATCTCCATGGCTCACTATCGCTGAGTCTCAGCTCTTTCACAGCCCCTCGCCCGAAGCCGACGACACTCGCGGCCTTGGACAACGAGCTATGGCCTGAACTTGTGAGGATCTGGAGCTCCCTGACGCCAGCAGAAAGACAGGCTGCAAGCAAGCCGACTTCACCAATACTCTGCCCGCGTTTTTCCAAGATTGCTTCGCGCCCACATGCAAGTCCGAGAACGTTGCTGCCCGTAGCTCCAGTTGTGAATGTGCGACCTTTCCAATCTCCAAGTCTTAGTAGCGAAACGAGCATCTCCAAAGCTGCATCCTCCAATATAGTGGCAATTGTCTGCGCTGGCAGATGGACCTGGACATTCTGATCCAGGCGGGAGACTACATTGTCTGCCCACTCAGCAATAGGAAGAGTACCACCGGTGACAAACCCGTAGTAACGGGACGAACTGCCCTGGCCGTTACACGCGGGAACAATGTCCTGTATGATGTGTCGTACAACATCTTCCTGTGAGACACCTCGTAGGTAGTCCTCCGAACCAGGCCGAGGGAGCTTGGCTTCCGCGGTCTGAATGGCAGATAACTCGGGGAGAGTAGGTGCCGGAGCGGAGCCGGGCTCGGGGCCGTGGCGACGGGATAAACGGGTCCGTTGGACGTCGAGATTGAACAAGTCACTCATTCTTGCCCAGACTGTATTTCAAAATGATGGTTATGTTATAAATGCCTCGAGAAATTGTCTAACTTCAGGCAGGTTTAAGGAACATGAGTCACTCAATTTACCGCTATCTCACACCGTTCATGTAAGCCTCCCCACTTGTCTTCGCCCCTTAAGCCGCAGCTTGCGGCACGATCCTTCGACAATAGACGATAATTGTCACGGTGTTTACTCGTGTCGTTATCTCGGCCAACTTATCCGATGCTCCTTCGGGAGGTGGATTAGCCCGATACAAACGTTTCCGAACTCAGAGAGACTTATATAATGACACGCAATGGATTCAAGTTCTCGGTCCATATCATTGTTTTTTTTACTCTATGGCCTGGTATGTCCTGCTGTCAAACCATCCGCCACTTGCTTCTAGACTGAGATCTTTGAACTCGATACAAGTCCACCTATATAGTGTAGCTTAATCCAACATGTGGTATGCGCCATGCCAAAATCAAATTAAATCAAATCAGAGAAAAGTGCAGGCTGCCGCCTTTGAGTCCCAGAGTTGGGCATCTCTCTATAGCTTGGCGCTCTCGCCAACAGCGCCAATCTTGAGGTCCTTGCCATACTTTGCCAGGACATGTTCGTTGTGGTACTTCCAGAAGGCCTTGGTAGCGTTCTTTCCAGACCAGCGCTTCAGGATCTTAGCACCACCGGGGTGTTCGTCGATGAACTCTGCGGGTGTTTGTCAGCTTTGTTCTGCGAGTTTGGGCTCGGTGGTCGTACTGGTCACGTCGTAAACGTCATTCTCAACAATGAGCCAGAAACCGTTGGCCTCATCCTTGTGCTTTCCAACCTCAGCGGTAGTATATGTCTCGGACATCTTGGTAGGTAGGTAGTTATAGAAGTCGAATTACAAGGGAAATGAGAAGTCGATGAAAGAATTGAGCTGTGAATGAAAGCGTAGGTGATAAGTGAATAAATCAAGTTGATGAGCTTGGAAAACAAGGAGTTCTTTCCGGGGCGCCGTCGGCAGGTGGGGGGGTCTTGCCTCGGTTCACGGTCACGAGCAGCACTTTCACCCATTGTAGGAGCCTGGGGACCGGGGGAGCTGGGGAAGTACGCTAGGAAAGCCACTAAGTCGGGGAGTCTGCACCTATCACAGGGAGGCAATTGTCAACTTTCACAAGGAAGCACTCGATTTGAAGCTCCAGTTGGTCCCATCGGCACCTGGTACACAATATGGCCCTATTGGAGTCGGGATGAGCTAGGTATCTATCTACCTTGAATGCTGCAGCAGATTGTTGATGTATATCTCCAGATTATTTGCAGAAACTGAGCAAATGCGTTCTGACCTAAAACTCAAGGTCCTTTGCAGTACGCCGTCTTCTGTGTACTCTTATGTTATCTTGGCGCTCTATACCCTTTATTCGTTGGCTCATAAACGCTGGTAAGCTTATTATTAAACGACAACTGTGGTAGATCTTCTTCGGATCGCGTCACGGAATCGGTCCGCAAACGCTGCTGTTCCACGACAATCACTCTCTGCTCGCTTCTCGAGAGCCTTTGGCAGCCATTCACTAATTTTTACAATCCGATTCTCGTTCTACGTCTCGTCAGTTCGGCTGAATCTCTCAGCAGCATGCGCTAGACTTACGGATGGATGAGTGCTCAGCATTTCTGGGGCTTCTTCTCCGCTGGCATGCTGAAGTGCGTGCATTCGCTGCCAGAAGCCCAAAGCTGCGCGAGGGTCATAACATGCTTCGGCCATCATCATTAGGCCGATGTAGTCTGCCTCGCTTTCCTGCTTTCGACCCATGGGAAGGTAGAAGAGCAGATCTTGTAGGTAATATCCTCCCACGACATTCCAGAGTCCAAACAGTGCAAGACCAGGCAGGGCTCCAGCGAGGAAGAACAAACTTCCAGCTGTAAGATTTCCTACCCATGCAGCAGAGAGGCGCTCTGCTGCATGAGAGGCTGTATTATGCGCGATCTCGTGCCCTAGTACTGCTGCGAGAGCATCCTCACTGCGGCAGACGTTGATAATACCGCTATGCACAAACACTTTACCCCCAGGGAGGACAAAGGCGTTTGCTGTTCCTATGACCAAAGGTCAGCAAACCGATAGTCGCTGCACATGATCGCCAAAACGTACTATTATCAGCTATCACGAAGATCTCCCAATTGAGGTCCGCCATGCCGCTCACGGGGATTAACTTCTTCATTACCCTCCTGACCAAGATGGTCCTTGGATCCCATTCGGATAGAAAATGACCACCTTGCGCTCTGACCTGCTCAATGACCTGTGCAGCTGCTTTCGAATGCGCGCGTGCGACCATAGAATCAGAGAGGAAATTGAATCTTCGACGGCCCGTGACCGGCACGGTTTGGGAGTTGTAGAAGTAGAAACCAATGGCGGCGAGAACGGTTGTTATCACGGTGAGACGTGAATTACGACTACTGCCTGCTTGTGTGAACTTGCGCGCTGCGCGATGTGGGACGAGGGGTCGCGCAGCTTGTAGGCGCTCTTGTAGTTCTCGTTCGGAATGTTGTTGGGGGCGATAATGGCATTGCGAGAAGGTCCTACGACGAGAGATAGAGGATATAGCGGTGCGATGAATAAGGAAAATGGCAGGACGGCTTATGCTCAGTGACGACTTTTGAAGTAAACGAGGGGCAGTCATTGTCGGATTCGGCGGCCAGCGTGATTCGGTCAATTGTCGTGCTGTTACCCCGAATTTGTCCTTTAATCAGAAGTACCGTAGCGATAGATCGAGCAATTATCACGAAACAAGCGGACCGCGGAGCTGGCGATTTCGTGCTTGTTGTGTGTTGCTTTGTCTCGTGATAGGTATTAGTTCAGCACAAGTTAGAAGAAGCTCCATGGTTTGCGTCATGATCAGTGTGCAGGCATTTCCGCTATCGGGGACCTGTGCTAAGCGATAAAAGTTTAGTGGGTCTGTAGACTAATTTATTTTGGTGGCTTGGGGGGCCCTCGGCTAATAGCGCTGACGGCTGGCTATAACTTCAGTATTACACCAACGCTCTTAAGTAAGAAAAATGCAATGAAATTATTTACCTCCTTCTCATCATCAAACCTCATAGATTTCTATAGAAAAATAACAAGACGGAAGTCTTAGTACTTTCTTCCATGATATGGAAGACTCCACTGTCTTCACGGTCTTCTTTGGTGACAGTTGTTGCAGCCCGCCGTAATATTGTTTCCGTTGTAGGAATCCTTGGGCTCAACATCCACTCATGAACACACGAGCGTATAGCTCTGCAATTGTTGCCAATGAATAACAGATCAGTCAGATCGTCACATGTCCCTAGCACTTAATAAAGGATACACTTCCCTTCATTCGTACCAAGAAGATCTTTATCCGTATCTAGTGGTCGGTGTGTCTGATGTTTGGTATTTCCGAATAGTATCACGAACTATACTAACAAATTTGCTTCCCCATCACAAACCCAACAGCTGACATTTAGATTCAAGCTTTACTATCACACAGGGACTTTCGTCATATAAAATCAACGGCTTGTTGTTGTAGGCATATGACCCGGAAACTACGGGCTTGGCCTGACCACCACGCGATGGAGCATCTTCACCATAGATAGCTCATTTCAGGGCAACCCTGACATCATCTCAGCAACCTAACCTCAGTATAAGCTCCCTGATAAATTCCAAACACCAATTTTGCACCTCTTTGTCCTAGTTTGAGCTCGTAATCATTCCCTGGAGGTCAGACTTTGGCTTACACCATCCTCGTTTGCTAACATGATACTAGCTTCTTTGAGTAGCTTTGAATCCTGCATCACACCAAGAGGGTCTCGTTTTGCAGGCCCTCTTATCAAACATCGCGTCACATTGGTGTGGGCGCAACGGCAGCGAACCACACATTCAACGACTTATAGTCGAGTGTGTAAGCTCTATCGTTACGCTATCAGTCTCTTTCTCACTCTCTATTCAGGGGTATAAAAGGAGCTCTCCATCTTTGAACTGCTGCGACCCAAAAGCAATTCTTATCCTCTATCATATTCTCATAACGATTGCCTGCTTTATTTGATACCAAAAACAAGATGGGTGAATTCGTCAACGGCGAGCCTGACTTGGGCACCATCAAACCTTCATTCACCTCTTCATCCGAACCTGAAAATTCTCAGTCAAAGTCCCTCATCCAGGCTTTATCCTTGGAGCCCCATATCGAGGGGGGCTACTTCCGCCAAACCGATACAAATCCTATCACCATTCCTTCACCGTATTCATCCGAAGCTCTCTCCCACGAAACTCTAGCTCTTTCGGGCCCTGCTCGTGAAGGTTACAGGGCGGATACACGACGTCTCTCTACCACCATTTACTACCTGCTAACCCCGCGCCATGCTCAGGGGAACTTCCATCGCAACCGCAGCCGCGTTATTCATACCTTGCATCGTGGACGGGGACGCTATGTACTCATCCACCCCGATGGGCGCATCGAGTCTTTTATTGTCGGGAATGCGGTTGAACGAGGCGAGCGTATACAATGGATCGTCGAAGGTGATGTCTGGAAGGCAAGTTACTTGCTCCCCAACGAGCCAGACATCGACCATGAGTCAAATAGGGAGGAAACAGGTGGTCTTCTGATCTCAGAGACGGTTGTCCCTGGCTTTGAATACCACGACCATGCATTCCTTACCCAACAAGGAATTCGTGAACTACTCAACGAACAGCAAGCCCGCGGACTGGACTGGCTCGTGAGAAGATCTGAGTAAATGTTTGATGGCAGTGATTAAGACCGACTTTTGTGAAAGAGGAGAAAGTTGAAGAAGAAACGAGTCCCTTCTGTAGAATTTTTGGAAATGTGTTCTGTCGTGTGACAATCTCATCGCCATTGATTACATACTCCGAGCTTTAGAACAGGTGGCTATCAAAAGTGTAGGTCGGTATGATGTTGTCCCTAAACCCATACCAATACATTATTCTAGTCATGTGCATCGTATCGACATTATTGGGTATCGTGGATATGAAAAGCCAAAGTCGTCCCCATTGTCGC